GAGAATGGTCTGAACGGAGAGTGGACGGAAAGACGTGCAGTAGCCGGAATCCAACGCTGGGCGCATGAGGGCACTGTGCTCTTTCCTGTGCCCCCATTTTTGGAGCTTTTACTCAATACTTGACGGTCATAGGAATCATAGAATCATATTGAATCATAATAGTGAATCCTTTCAATATATTTCAATGCACAGCCTGCACTTTTCATGCCCCACCGTTTTGATATATTTGTACTGTATATATTTGTTGGTTCTTTTTTACCGCTTCTCGACAAGAACAGCCAGGGTCTGCCAGTCGTTCCACAGCCAGGAGGGGAAGCGGATGAATCAAAAGGCAATGACGTCTCAAGCGCTAAACAGATGCGTTGTTTCACACTCAGAAATTGGGAAAGCGTCCGTTTTGAATTTATACATGATAGTACATATATAGCTCCACAAATACCAAAGACGGAAGCTCGGAAGCACCTGACTATGCCCTGCTTACAAGAGTTGAAGCATACTATGCATGGACTTCCACGACATATGACTATGGCCATGGAGATTCCATGGATTGATTGTATATGTGTGTGAGGGAACCTGATGTTGTTTGGAGACTCAGTGATTAGTGACATTACATTTACTGTAAGTGGATTGTCGGTCTTGCTCACTTCTAGATATATACTATTATATACTTGTCCGAGCTTCTTGTGGTACCAGCATCGCCAGGCTGAAAGCGACTGCCGCTGGTGGACACGTGTTCGGCAACCTCTAGTATGTCCTTTGACAAATTTTCCAATCAGGCCAGGTTGCTTGTTGTTTCTTTAGAGAAGCCAGAGCAATGCGGGTGTCAAGTATTCCGACGGCTTGTTCCAGCACACTTCCTTAAAGTGGGTTTGGCCATTCCTCATCCCTTCGACATCCTTCGACTATAAGCTTCTTAGATTTTCTTAGCATTATGTCCTACACAAAACTGGTTGAAACCCAGGACATTCTTTAGCAGCATAGGGTTGGAGCAGGTTTAGCAGCCTAGATTCTGGAAACAACTACTGTAGGACCTAGGATAGCTCGGGTTGCATGTGATTGCATGGAATTTTGCTAGCAAATTGCCTGGATTGCTTCTGGGATTGCTTCGGATATTGCAGTACGTCAGAGGATTATCAGCACTCCCCGTGGGAGCAAAGCTGCACCACAACAGGAAAACGACCCGTAGGGAGTCACATCTGCCCGAGAAACCCACACCAAAGAAGATTCACATTGCATGACATTCACTACCTGGAGTACTTTGTCAGAACAAGCGACACTTCGCTGAGGGGTGAGGTCGTCTCTTCGTCGAGAGGCTTTTGCCTTATCCACCCTTCAAGCTGCGATGTGATCCACAAAAGCCGAGCCCCTTGGTCGAAAGCTTTCCTGGAACAGGCCGAGTCCTCGTGTCTGATGCGGTTTCCCACCGCTGGTGAAAGTATCAGGGTGTTTGAACCGAGAGACTCGTTCAGTCGAATCAGCCTCGATCTGTTTTTCTTGGTTTGTCAATGTTCAGTCATGCCCGTCATGCCCCAAAGATTGCCAGCTGGCAGCCCTGGCCCCTCCGGCGAACGAAGTGAAACAGAAGCGAACTGCCTGTCGGTTTTTCTGGCCCGGTTGATGGCAAGGCCCACACACATTGGTCGATGGCAAGTTTCTGGCCATGCAGTTGATCGTGAATGGCAAGGCCAGTGGCATCCGTGAGCTCACTGAATCGGACATCCACGCCTTGGATGGCTACATGCAGAGGTGCAAGCGACCTAGCAGCAAGGTGGACCCTACTTGTAGGGGGCAGCTGCTGCGGGCGAAAGCCTAGGCCTAGCAGGCTAGCTCAAAATCCCTGCAAGAGAGGCTTTTGGAGGGCTGCGTCGCGCGGTTGAACATGAGACACACACACTTGGATTGATGCTCGCAAGAGCTGAATCAGTTTCGAGTTCCAGAAATTAGTTACTGACTACCTAGCACTCTAGTTACTGAATACTTAGCCCTTGCCTTGAGGGAACAGCAAGAAAAGCTGGGTCGGAGAAAAGAATTGTTGGAACATACGCATTAGCCCTTTACGACAAATTAAAGTTAGTGCAGGTACGTTTTCACCCCCCTG